CTTCCTCGGTACTCCTCCACAAGGGCTACATAGGTCGGATTGAAGTGACGGAAAATTCCTTTGTGGATTCAGTTGGCGGCAGATCTAGTCCATGGAGACCTCTACCGTCCACTTGACGCCCACAGGAGTGCCCTCCACTAAACAGCAACTGGAGTGATAGGTCGAAGAACAGACACACAGTTAGTAGGCGGGGTCGCCGAAGCCGCATGGCTCGTAGGGTTTGCGGGGTGGCTTGGCGAGGTCACACGTGCCGGCGTCGATGAGGACACAGGGTAGGGGTCATGGCGATGTCCGTGGGACCATGGGACGGGTCACCAGGGTGACACCGGATGGCATGCCTGGTTCGTCGTGGGTCGCTAGGCAATGTCGCCGCACCTCGCCGGATCATTCTCGAGGAGGGTTGGAAAACTGGATGCACATGGGGTGGTGGTGGATATTAGATTGACTCCTCAACTACAGAAGGTGAAAGGGGAATCGAATGGACAATTTCTTTGTGGTGGAATTGGACATGTGTGGATATTAGATTGACTCCTCGGCTATAGAAGGTGAAAGGGGAATCGAATGGACAATTTCTTTGTGGTGGAACTGGACATGTGGAGATGTCGTTTCAGATGAATCAGGGAAAAGGGGTTCGTGATCACCTATGATGGGTCCTAATGCTGGTAACCGAAGGTTGACGTGGATGATGTGTACTTTGGTGGGTCTCCCATATAAGCCGGTAAAGAAATGCTGATGTGGTTGGCTGCTAATGTGGATAGGCTGCATGTTTAGATAAATATGTTAGTGGGGATGAACTTCTTAAGTGGATAACTAAAGGTGTGGAGGAACAATCATCCTGCTACCCCTCCATCATACTTCCTCCGTTTCAAAATAGATGACCCAATTGGATCATCTATTTTGGAATGGATGGAGTATAATATAAGACGATGTTACATCCAATATACAAGGGGTAACTTTTAACAGAAAAGCTGCAGAACATTTGAATCTACGTAGTGACAAGCTCCCGTGGGATTACGGAAAGGTAACAGCTACGTGCGTCCGCGACTGCGAGGCGATTCCCCGAACATATCAAGCACTTCCGATCGATCACGGGTGTGCATGTGACATAGTGGTAAGTGCGAGGTTCTTCGCTCTAGGGTTGACGTACTAAGGCCCTGTTTGGTTCGGATGTGGATTTCTAAAAGCAGCTGTGAAGAATCTGCTGTGAAAAATCTGATGTGAAAAAGATGTAGGTCATTTGGCAAACCAATTGATACAACTTTTTCGGATTTTGGCCCGCAGCGGAATCAGATTTTGGAAAGCACGTCCTAGGTTGCTTCCACTTTTGGTTCAGATTTTGGCAGCGGATTTCTGAAATCTGATTCTGCTGGGTTCGCCCTTTGGTTCAGATTCTGCCGCGCGGCAGCGGAATCCGTCGATAAAAGCTGAACCAAACAGGGCCTAAGTCCAAGGGTAGTTTTGCTTGAAAAATATACGCCCTTCGATTCATATTACTTGTCATAGCTTTAGTATCAATTGACCAGCCTTGAGTCAAATATAAGATTAGGTGCGACATTAACCGTTCTTGCACACAATCAACAATACCATCAGGAACGCGCTTATGTTCGTCAATCAATAGTTTAATGTCGAATCAATACCATGCGGTTCTAAAAAAAATCAGTGACGTGCACATGTTGGTCAAGATTATAATACAAAATAGTTTAATGTTAAGTATCCCAACAGGGCAACTCGCGGTATGCAAAGTTAAAACCCAAAAATGACATTGTGTATTTTGTGTTTATACCCCTCCCACCCAAATTGCTCTCGGACCCTCACCCCCCCTCCCTCCCCGCTTTCTTCTCTCTCTATTGTTCTTGTATCCCAAGCCTTGCCTCCACTGTGTACGCGCCCCTTCCCCCGTTCATCCAGTGGCAGACCTAGGATGTTAGCACTGGCGGGGGGTGGGGTGGGGGCAAGTAGTGTAATTTAATCTAAATATCACTATAATCCTAGCAAAAACTCCTCAAATAGCATTATATTGTCAGAAAAAGAGTGTCTAGTGTATAATATAAAGTAGACTGCACTTTTAGTTGGGGGGGGGGGGGTGCCATGGTACCATGGCAGCCCCTAGATCCATCCAACTCTGAGTAGAAATGGAAAGTTAACGATAAACAAGAATTGTAATTGATCGTAGAAGTCCATGTATGTCATCAAAGTTTAGGAATGTTCCTTTGTTTTTTAATAGAATTTCATGCCCATTTCATGAGTTTGCCGTATGCGGATTCATGATTGGTGCAAGAGAAAATTGTTTAATGTTATTGATTGAAGATATTTTTATTATTAGAAAAGAAACAAAAATGCAATGTTGTTGGTGCGTGTTCTATTTTGAAATTGCTCCAAAGAGTGCTTAATGGATGTAAGGGCTTACAATGGTAGGTAAGTCGGTATTTCTTATATATTTCACATAATTGTTTTCTTGTACCCCCTCTGTTCCATATTAGTTGTCACATCATTTAGAAAAAAACTAATAAAACACATTATTATATACCTAAAAATTACTCTCTTAGTGTTATTTCATTTGGACTGGATAGCAAATTTTAACAGTTGCGAGGCGTCATCTCAAAAACATCCGCACATGTTCCCATCCACGCGATGCACCGTCGATTCTCCATCAGATGGTTCAAAACACCGCAGTGGACGTGTACACGAGGGCCCGAGTCACACAAGTCTTTACCTAATAATAAATCTTTACCTAATAATAAAAGGGTGATCGCTTCTTCCTCCTAAATTTTCGTCCGTAAATCTGAATTTTTCGTCCGTCGTACGTCAAAGCCGATCGAGTCGCTCGATCTTTTAAATTCGCGTCCTGGTTTTCCAAGCCCACTCGAAGGTGAACAGCCCACCAATTTTTCCGGCCCATCCAGCCCGTTTTGTGGTATAATAGAAGGTTCATACTGGTTTTAAATAGTCCCACATCGCTCAGTCTCAAAAAAAAAAAAATAGTCCCACATCGCTCCCTTCAATCCAAACTTCGTAATTTAAAAAGATCTTCAAGTTTCCTGGGTATCAAGGAGCAGTTTCGGGAATCAATGTGGAAGGAAATAATAAGTTCTCCGATAAGAAAAGAAATGAGAGGAAAATCAGGATGGGAAAGAGGGGATTTCAAGTCTGTGATAGAGAAGAAAAAGGAAAGAGCGGATAGATAAATAAGGAAGTAAATGGAATTGAATCCAAAGAAGGAAGTAAATGGATAGAATTTCGGTCTTGAAGAAGGGAAATAGATTGAATCTTGCTGCTGAAACAAAAGGAAAGAAGATGGATTTCAGTCTTCAAGAATCAGCCGAGCGGTCTTGAGTCGGAAGCACGGTCGGATGTGCTCGCTATACATTCTCCTTCTCCGCTCTCACCAAAGTTAATTAGAAGCCATAATGAGATATCCTTTTAGTTCTTACAAAAACACCTCTGATTAATATTTTTTCCCCTGAAAAAACGATTCGTCTAGGACTTGGTGCAGAGCGAGTGATCCGTCTACAACTCGGAGTAGACCAAATATTCTTTTCACGTTTGGCTTCGATTTAGAAATGCCGCCCGCTTTCAAACTGACGAAATTTAGCTTTCTTTAAAATATGAAAACTTTGTGTTGATGCTTTTTCTTTACAAAAAAGTTTGCATTACTCTTGTCATGCCTATTAGTAAGCTTGTGAATTTCTTAGTGTCCACTAATATAAAAACAAGACATATTCGAGCAATCTCCACTATCCATATGCCTAAACAGTAATTAATGGTGTATGAAGCACGTACTAGGTTTGACCGATGATGTCAAGTTGCGTGGCATAGAATCTATTTAGGCCGTTGCATCATTAGTGATAATAAATAATGTTATTTCTTCCTATTATACTTCTATAAATTTCCTTATGCACTAATAATCTGAATTTGTGTTATTCACCTAGATCAATTGACTCGGAATCATGTTTCATGTTCTGAAATACCGTCTTGAATAACCCTACCATCAGTCGGTCCATTGTTATTGTCATCAGCAACATGTGTCCCGCGACCCAGTTTATCAACCCTGCCACCCTGATTCATAGTAAAGTACATGTCTCCGAACTTGATTCACGCCACTTGAAGTCTCCGGTTGCAACGCACGGGCATATGTGCTAGTCATTATAATACAAGTCATCCCCATGACAATTCGGTAATAAAATCACATTCGTCCCGTTCTCTATCTCGGTATCTCCATTCCCGAACAGAAAAAGAAAGGAACACACACACAGGCGGACGCGTAGAGCCCATCCCCGCAGGGCCGAGATCCCCGCCCCACTCCCCCGAACAACCGCCGCCGACTCGCCGGCCCTCGCCGCCTTCCCCGTCGCCGG